CAGTGAATCTTTCTCTCATTAGAAGTTGATTCTCACAAGAATCTCATAATGATAGACTCAGTCTCCCTGCACAAAGAAATTGGAATGCGAAAGATACTCATCACATAGCATGGGATCGCCTGCAAAACAACTTTCACCATAATCTCTCGCTCCCCAGCTGAGAAAAGAGCCCTCCTCCAAGCTTGGACTCTTTTCCAAACTGAGTCTCTGATTGAATCAAAAATCTGATGACGGCTTCTTCCAACCACCGAAGGGAGGCCTAAGTACCAATCATGTGACTAGGCCTTATCAAGCCCCAAGACAGATAAAATAGAGGCCCTAGTATCCTCATCTACACAGGGGCTAAATATAATGACAGACTTCTGAAAGTTAACTTTCTGACCGGTTGCAGCCTCATATAGTAGCATAGTACTCTAGACAGTCTATGTAATGGCCTGGGAAGCCTGAATAAAAACCAAAGAGTTATCTGCAAAGAACAAGTGAGAAATCCTTAGCCCCTACCAGAAACAAGATAACCCTCTAATGCACTTGTTCCCCTCTTGTCTGATGATCAGCGCCGAGAGAGCTTCCGTACAGAGAAGAAACAAATATGGAGATAGTGGGCATAATTATCGCAGACCACGAGTAGGAGTGACCTGACCCACAATCTGCCCATTGAGGCAGAAAGAGAGTGAGGAAGTAGAGATACAATCTAAGATGAGATGCCTCTAATGATCTGGAAATCCCATGACCTAAAGAGCTTTGTCAATAAACCCTCATTCCACTCTATCATATGCCTTACTCATATCCAATTTCAGTGTCATATGGCCAGACTGACCCCGTCTCCTTTTTTACAATGTGTGGAGAAGTTCAAAAGCAACAATGACATTGTCCTGAATTGATCTTCCTGAGACAAAGGCACTCTGAAAGCATCCGATCAATCTGCCAAGAACTTGCTTCAGCCTATTAGCAATGGTTTTTGTGACAATCTTGTAGACCATATTACATAGACCAATGGGTCTAAAATCTACTACAATCTCAGGAGAATCCTTTTTCGGGATGAGAACCACATTGGTTTTATTCCAAGACCTGATAAACGAGCCCCCATTTAGAATCTTCAAACATGCGGCTGAAATATCTGGGCTAATAACAGACCACTGGGACTAAAAAAAGGATGCATGGAAGCCATTTGGGCCGAGTGCCTTAGAAGGGCCCATAGATCGAAGAGCAACCCATACCTCATCACCTGTAAAAGGCTCAGAAATGATCCAGAGGTTATCCACTGAAAGCTTAGAAGAGATATCACCACCCACCTCAGCCAAAACCTCCTCTGAAGGAGTGGAAGAAGAAAATAGTTCTGAGAAATACTCCTCAATAAGCATTGAAAGTCCTACCTGATCCTCCACCCAAGTGCCATTAGCATGACGTAGATGACTAATGAAGTTCTTCCTCCTCCTAGTGGAAGCTCTAATATGGAAGAATTTGGCGTTACAGTCCCTGTCTGGAGCCAATCAACCCTAGCTCGCTGTCGCCAGAAGCTCTCTTCCCTATACTCAAGAACCTCCCTCTCCTTCTCAAGTCTTCGGATCTCAGCCATACGATCTCCCACATCAGGAGAAGAGTAGAGAGATTGGATCTTTCACTAAATAACTGATATTGTGTGCCTCCATCTACCAAAATGCTCTTTGCTCCAACTACTGAGATTTGTAGCACAAGACCCTAGCTTTTGATAAATTGATTCACATAGACCCTGTTGTGTGGAGATCCCAGGCCAGACCCTACTAATAACATCACTCAAATCATCCTCTTTGAGTCAGAAGGCTTCAAAGTGGAAGGGGAGACCATGCCTAATTGGAAGGGGGCGAGGAGCAGCAAAATATAACATAATAGGATGATGGTCAGAAACAAAAAAAATCCAAGTGGTGTACCTCAGCAGTGGAAAATATGTCACGCCAGCCAGAGTCAGCTACCATTCTGTCCAAGCACTCCTGGATATGAGATTTATCAGTCTGACAATTATTCCAAGTGAAGGAGTGCCCGCAATACCCCAGATCAAGTAGCTCACAATGTAGCAGAACATTCTGGAAATCTAGCATTCTCGAAACATGCGCCTGTCTACCACCCAGCTTCTCCCATGGGCTCGTGATGGCATTAAAGTCACCTCCACATAACCATGGCTCAGAGGAAAGACCCTTCAACCATCTCAATATATCCCAGGTCTGGTAATGTAAGTGTTTCTGAGGATGGCCATAAAACTCGGTGAATCGCCAGTTCCTTCCCGCTGAGTCAACAGTTGATGCGTCAATGTGCCTCAGAGAAAAAAGAATGAATAGTCACATCCATTTCATTGCCCCATAGTAACATGAGTCCACCACTTCTGCCTCTACTATCCACCACAAAGCAATTCTGGAAACCCAACTGAGATCTCATTATCTGCGCTCACCTACTAGAAAGTCTAGTCTCCGAAAGAAAGACTAAACTTGGGGAATGAGTCTGCATTAATCTACAGAAAGCAGTCAACATTTCAGGGTTCCCCAGTCCCTAAACGTTCCAACAAAAGCAACTCATGGCTCCTGGCACCCCTGACCACCAGGGTGCGCCTCAACAAGAGTAGAATCTGGACTGAAAATCACTAATCGTGCCCTCTTCTCATGTACATCCGGAGGATCCTTCATAGAATCTTTCCTGCGTTTGCCTCCTTTCTCTTTCTGTTTAGAGCCCTGCTGCCCAGACCCTCTAGCAAGCCTCTTCCAGGTCGATATAGCCCACTTTTCGGAGGTGGATGTGGAAACTGTAACATCATGCAAATCAGAGCCAATACTGGTATCCATGGGCAAGGGTACAAGAGAGGTTTCACACCTCACCGTAACTGGAATGATCTGTAGTGGAGCACTACCACGTGAATCATCATCCTAATAAGTATCATCTAAGACCACCCAAGATGATAGTTGTTTCTGCCCCTCACGATCTGCTTCAGTTGCTCCAGAAGACCGAGTCTCAAAGGCCTTGAAAGATGGAGGGGGTTCTCTGTGCCAAGAACCATATCTACTTTTGGATGTGATAAAAATATCATCGACTTGTACACTTCATTTGTCACACTCAAGAGCTTTGTGGCCAATAATGCCACATGAAAAGCAAAAGTCAGGAAGTCTCTCATAGGTGAGGAAGAGCTTCTCAATCTCCCCGGCCTCTTCAAAGCAAACACGTATGCCTCTTTTTAGAGGCTTGGTAATATCCACGATAATTCTCAGCCGCATCTTGTTATCCCACAAATCAATCTCTTTAAGTTCTCCTATAAGCGAGCCATAGTCTCTGGCGCACCTCTCGTTCATTGCAGCCAGTGGTACATTCTTGACGTTTACCCAAAATAAAGTTGAAGATAAATCCAAAGAAGTTGTGGCATCGACCCCACGAGGAACAATCAAATTGAGTAAGTTCCTTTCAAAGCACCATGACCCACCATCAAGCACTTTCTCCCTATCTGCATTGGAACCGAATCTGAAAAGGAAAGTGTTCCTTCCACTGTAATGTTCCACCTAGAAGGGGGCATCTACAATCCATATCTTTCTAAGGACATGCTCAAGACCATCTCTATTAGCAATCTTCCTACCAAAAACCTACTCCAAGAGACAGTTGTTAAGGGAAGGTGAATCTATCCGGTCCTTAGTTGAGAGAAAAACAGAGCCATCTTCGTCATCTAAGCTGCATTTGGCATAAAACTCGGCCAGCCCATCATCATCAATTCTCGCTATGTTCCAAATTGATTTGGAGCCAAGAGGCTGCTTGAAACGGTGATGCCGTTAATATGAGACCGATAGACGGTCTTAAAATAGCGATGCCGTTAATTTGAGTCTGAGAGACGGCTTCAATGGCGATGCCGTTAATTGGAGACCGAAAGGCGGCTCTGAAACGGTGATGCCATTAATTGAATATGAAACGAAGATGCTGTTAATTAAATATGAAACGACAATGCCATTAAATAAATATGAAACAACGATGCCATTAATTAATTATGAAACGGAGATGCCGTTCGTGTGAGCCAAGAGACAGCTATCTCGGAGGCCGAGATGTGGGAAACCCCGAAGACTACTGTTAGAGTTAGGGACGAGACTCAGATCTCTCCAAATAATTCACCACAAAACTATCGGAGTGAGACAGGAAGGGTCGTGCCTCACAAAGATTGTAGAAACCGGTCAGAGAAAAAAATGAAAAGAGACGGTCGTGCCGATGGAGATCCGTCACGAGGGAGGGGGAGAGAAGCGTTACATGCTTCTAGAGAGGAAAAGACACGGACTGAGATCTAGGGTTTTCAAAACCCTAGAGAGGGGACGGCTACAAAAGAAAGAGCCGACTGAAAACTAGGGTTTTCAAAACCCTAGAGAGGGCGGCTACAAGAGAGAATCTAGTGGACAAGTTAATACAACTTCCTCGACGCAAAGTGTTTTAAGAATATATGGTTGGAGATATGGAGTGAATATCCCTTGTCATTGAGCACAGGAATTGCCATTATAACAGTGTGGTTGAATCACGGTGTACTTGGAATTAGAAAAAAAGACACAATTTTAAAACAAACCCCATTAAGAATTTATTTTCAAAAAACGACCCATTTAAAATTTATTTTTCATTTTGACCCACCAGGTGGCTGAAACTGGGTCGAAAATGATAAATAAAGTTCAAAAACTTTACATGATTTAAAATTTTGTGAAGTTTAGTGCCTGATTAACCGCGCTAATGAAGCTACAGAAGTTTAAAAAGTTCACAGAATTTAAAGTTTACTGTCTGATTAACCATGCTAAACTTCACATGATTTTAAATCCCGTTAAGTTTTCGAATTTTATTTGCCATTTTCGTCGACCTGGTTTCAGCCAGGTGGTTGAAACCAGGTCGAAAATGACAAATAAATTTTAAATAAGTGAATTTTTGAAAATAAATTCTTAAAATGGTCTATTGTGAAAATTTCTCCTAGAAAAAAGGGAGGGGGTAAGTGTAAAGCCCTCAATTCTCTCTCCGCTTTTATTTTTATTATTATTCCCACTGATAGATTCTTCGATTTTAGATCGCCCATGTCGATGTGAACATCGCCTTTGTCGTCCGCCTCCTCCTCAGTGCTCGTTTGATCTCGTCTGCCCTCCTCATTGCTCCTCCACCCTTTCTCCCTTCCTCGAGCGCCGATTTCAGGTTAATTTTTCTCCTCTTTTTTATTTTGTTTTTCGAATTTTGCTTGTTTGATTGGTTTATGTGGTGTCTTGAGCCGAATCTGTTTGTTATATTATGATAGGTTGAGGGCTCTGCACGATGAAACCCTAAAGCTTGTTCCTTTTTACCCAAAGAAATTTGATTTGAAACCCTAATATCATTTGTCAAGTTTTCTAACTTTCTTTATATTCATTACATTGATTTTGTTAGATTTTAGGGTTTTAAGGTTTCTAACCTTTTGTTCCTTTTGATTTATGGATTCTATGATTTCTAGTTTTAGAATTTTAGGATGTAATTTGTTTATGGTATTCACTTCTAGTTCCTAGTAATCATTAGAAATCCAAATATAACTTAAGTATAAAGGTCAATCTTGATAAGTCATACCCATCCACTTTATATACAACATCAGATAAAAATCTTCACTCTAATTATCAAGAGCTGGTGCAAAGGATCCTGTTCAATTATTACAGGATTTTGTTGGTGGTGGTGTTGTGAGAAGTTCACATGGTGGGATTGTCCCCAAATATTAGTTGCCTTTGTACTGGGGTGATAGTCAGACCTCTTATCTATTTAATCATCCGTAATTATAGAGGACCGTTAAAGGTTGTCAATCATTATATATTTTAGGCAAGTGGAGAGTCTGATGGTGACTCCTCAGCCATGCTTCAAAGAACATAGTTCAAGTATAAATTAGAAGATGATGCAGCTCTGCGTGTTTAAAATTGATGACGATTGTGTGGATGGGAGAAAGTCTTCCACATATAGAAGGGGAGATGGTGAATTTTGCATGAAATGGAAGTTTCTTGTGCAAGTTTGTATGTAGTCTTACCTATCCTGGTGGTGGTGGGGTTGTAGCTGGCTCTATTGAGCCTATTTCTGTAACAATTCATTGGTTGCCGGAATTATTGAAATTTCTCTTCATCTTAATTTATTCTCTTATCTCTAGATAGACTTAAATTATGCAGTCTAAAAATGTAATGTGAGTGCACTGTTTTCTTCTTGATGGATTTAAAATTTTCGACCAAAATAACATCTAATTTATGATGAGAAGGTCTGCAATTTCGATTTCATTCGTGGTTAGTTCTTCCTTGGATAGTTGGATTGCTTCTGCATTTTCTCTTATGCCGACTTTGAGGTGACATAGAGGTTGAACTATGGAACGACCAAAGCTTTCTTCTTGAGCTCTACCAAATGCATGGACTAATACGTATGGTGATGATGCAAAGCACGACCAGTAACGGGGCCAGAATATACATCAAAAAACTACCTCAACAAGAAAAAAGAAGAGAAAACCTCAAAAGAAGAAATATTAACCCGAGGATTACAATGCTATTTGCAGAGTCAAATTTTCTCATGTCTCCTTTGTGAATAGGACAATTACTTTTTCATTGTCAGTAGGATATAATAGTCATTTGCACCCACCTTGGACATGCGTATCCTTGTTATATTGGAAATCGAAATTGCACTGAAATTTTTTAGATTGTCTAGATGATACTTTGTAGATTGTCTAAATAAAAATGAGACGAGATATGACAACAACAAAGCTTTGCGAATTTTCGAGATCGGCTTTTCAAGAAGGCTACATGAATCCTACTCTTCTTACTTAGTTCTATTCAGGTCTATTTAGTTGATTAAATTATTCATTATCATATCCTTTTTAAATGTTTCTAACCAAGTTTTCTTAATTTATCTTAGTCCTTTTTTCTCCATTAATTATAACTTTTCCCTA